GATTTCTTTTTTATGTCAATTTAATATTTTGTTTTGGCTATATTGAGATTTAATTGGTTTAAACAAGAGCCGGGTTATCAAAATCTTCAAGTATTAGGAAGGAGACTATCTACCTAACCAAACCTAACCTATCTATATACTGTAATCATGTAGAAAAAACTGTCTGGCGATGGAGGTATTGGCGCTATTTAGTAACGTGCTGTTTTGTTTCAACGTCATTGGGTTACGCTCTGTTATGTATGCTTTGTTTTTGTTATGCGCTGTTTTGTGAAAGATCCTTTAAAACACTTTATGACGTCAGAGATCCCACACACCTAACGCCAATCACTGCCTAGAAGGTGGAACCAACGCGAACTATAAACCGGTACAGATATACGACCGACGTCGTTACAAACAACCCCCACCCCTCCCCAAATTATCTCATGCGGTCCCCGCTTCTCACAATACAATATACAGTAGACAATGGTGTTACCCATCTCGGCCCCAAAGAGGGAAAATATGCCATATAAAATATTTTTCAATGAGTTTGAAGAAGTGTAGTAGTGTACCTATGTCGCTACGGGATCCCAATCTCCCCCATGTTGAATATGCCAACACGGTAGAGTCACGAAAACGTCCCGCATGCATTTGAACGTCGAAAGACGTCGTAAAAAGTGGAAAAATCAGGAAAACGGTACATACGTCGAAACGTTGAAAGGAAATGTGAAGACTCTTTGATGCCTGAGTGACGTGGCATTTACGCTGTTAGATAATTTGACGCAGGTGTTATATTTTTGTGGCCTTTTTCTCACGTAATTTCTACACACACCTGATGTTTCTGTAATGTTTTTAACGTTTCGACGCATGCATGAATTACATGATGCTTTTGTGACGTTTTAATAACGTTTGTCAGCTCGTAGATTCAGCATTGGGGGATGAAATATCTCGTAGTGGCACACATGCACTACGTAGTGTTCAAATGAATAAATAATGAAATTGTTTTAATAGTTATTAGATAAATTAATTATATTTCAACATCTACAGTGTGATAATAAAAATAATGTTGGCAATAAGAGCACGTTGGCTTCATTCCGATTCTGTTATTTGTATGACGAAAGAGACGATCTAGTTTAAAAATCTAACCCAATCTATTATAAGAAAATAACAAATGAAGACCATTTTTTCAACAACCTAACCTGATTGTGCCTCACTTTGATACATCTGTTAATTTTTAAGAAAAAAAGTATATTTAGCCAGTGATAGATAAGTTTGTTGTTCAGAAGAGTCTTCTATTTGTTTTTTTTTTAGTCAAAGGTAAGATAACATTTTTCAGCATTGTACCTTAATATTTGTTGACCTATTATAAATCCTGTTTTTCCCAACTCAATTTGATATACATTCCTTGGTATTAATTTCTCTCAACGCATCATTTCCTTCATAATCAAAATTGAGAAATAGTTCATCACTTGTATGAACAACAATCAGTGCATGAACACTATGAAACTACAATTATTTCACACCCTTTGTGAAGTATGATGTTAAAATTTTGTATGGGTGTATCTTATCCTGAATAGAATAGGCATATGCTTCTGAAAAAAACTGCTAGATTAAACCTCATCCGCGTAATTGTGTCTTAAATGTGTAGAGTATCAGTGTTTCATACATAAATGTTCGGCATTGATTTTATATTATTTTTTAAATCAAATGAAAAAATTGCGGAATAAATTGATTGAATAGAATTGATCTTTGCAGTCTTGAGATTCCACTTTCGATAACAATATTACCGTTACCAATAATATTGTGAACGAACATTGGATATTATGACTACGAATCCAATATCCACTCAATTTATTCGGCACTAGGCGATCATTTCATCCAAGTTTTTGTTAATAATTAATTGAATTAATAAAATGCCAAACTTAACATATGATAATTTTCAATTCAAAGTTGTTTACAACAAAATACAACTCCATTCACCACTTGATCCACGATTTTTATTCGGCAATCTCATATCCGTGTAGTGAGGTGAAATTTGAGTGTGAACAAATGAGACTCAAAAAACACGTTGTAGGTTCCCGCTCTAATGCCACACACTGTAGAATTAAAATGAAGCCATTCCCGAACTATTCACCTGCCTGTCGCGATACATTCGCTACCACCGTGTACAGAGTGTCTCTGTATATATTTGACCCCGACTTACAGCTTCAACTATACGACGTGGAAAAAAACTCAAATTATAATAGTTGTAGGATTTCATATGTAGCATCTTTTGGCACTCCTCAAACTATTAGATGCGAGTCGTAAAATTATCAAAGATTCCAATTCGGTTTTTTCAAATGACACACTCTTTATATATTCAACTCAAGTGAAAAATATTTTTCTTCTGCTCACAAATATATTTAGTTTTCTAATGTTTCCTCAATCCATTTTTCACTTATGTAGCGTTGAATCAAAGTTGCCAAAAACATTTCAGATGGCTATGGACACAACAAAAATGCCATGAAAACAAAACAGGCATTTTTCTACATTTCTGTTGGTTTTTCAATCAGAATGGGTTATTCCGTAGAGGATAAATACGAAATAATAGGGAAATATTGCAAAAATTCCATTATTGCAGCACGAATTTAATAAAAAATTGCTGCGTTTCCGCGATTCAGGGTGGGGAAGTTGAAGAATAAAAATCGAATTTCTGAGAATTCATGAACATTTTTGAACGTATAACTTCCAAAATTAATATTCCAGGGTTTTTGGGATGCAGAACACAAATAAGGATACTTTTTCACTGTGGCCACTGAGGGCGCTTATAGATTTACTTATAATGGTTTAGAATGGCCATACCTTTTGCCTTAGTGTAGTTTCTTACTTCATTCGTTGAGGAAACAATTTTCAAGCAAAAAATATACTCTTGTCAAAATCTGCTTAAGTAAGCCGATTCCGAGATATTTCGATTTTTATTGTCGGATGCAGCAACATAATATTTAAATTATTTTGAATAAAGAATGTTCACTGTTATCTTCGTGGATGTGATTTGGGCAGTGAATTAGCAGTACAAAATGGATTTTTCATAATAGTTTGTTGGAGTGTATGTACTTCTCGATTTTTATTGTTTATTTTCACCACCCTGTTTTTCAGAAACGAAGAAATTTCGGGCTGAAGGAAGTGGCTTTTAATCGGCTTATTTTGACCTCAAATATATGTGCAAAGCTTTTGTACAGATCTTTTAGAGACTCCACAAGGCGTCTTCATAATATGACAAATCACAAGCCAGAGACAACGTATGCTTATCGCTAAAACATTAGCTGTCTTTCAATTCTGATTGGTATCAGCGTTGATGTTTTCAACGATGTCACCATGGATAGCGAAGCCAAGTTGGTATCAGCGTTGATGTTTTCAACGTTGTCACCATGAATAGCGACGCCAACTCTGTCAGTTTGACATAAAATAATTATGGCTGCACTCGCCAAAATTAATCGCTTGCATTTATAATATTTTTTCCTGAAATTAAGAATGCTTTGAAGATCCTTGTTGATTCACCTTGAAGGACTTGTACAGTTGAAAGGTCATTTAGTAGCCTTATGAGACTCAAAACCTGAATGAGTAGCAACATGTCTGAAGATCTACTCAATGGCCTCACAATGATGGGGCAACATATCTCCAAAAACTTGAACGATACCGATTTTGTCAACAAAGAGGATGAATTCATAAAGAACCCTTTGTCAATTGAAGGGTGTCAGGAGAAAACAGGAAATGCCCTTTTTTGTTCAAAACGAATTAGTGATGCCATCTATTAGCAAATTCAAAGTATTAACCTATGCTTCACCTAAATCACGAGATAACGTGGAGCGTCATGTTCTCCAACATTGTTTTAAAATGCCATATACGGAGAAAACAGGGAATGTCTAACCAAAAACGTAATTAACGGGGAATGTCCTATCAGAACTACTTATTTTGCATATGAATTCTGAACGTTTTGCGAGTGCAGAAGGCTCAAGGGTATGGAGAAAGTGAATCCGAGTGACAGACAAACTATTCTCAATTATTTCAATTCACTGTGATTCACACAATACTCAAAATTCCTATCTGTGCTCCCTGATTTCAATAGTTATCATACAAAGGCAGAGGCCACGGGCACCAGAAAACTTAGCAACGTTTCATGACAGTAGCTACAAATATCGGGTGAGAATTAAACCAAAAAATATTATGAATGAAGTGGAAGGGGGCGCAAAGTTTTTTAAGACAGTTCATGGGATTTCTAAATGCAAAGTTGAGTACCTACAGAGGTCTTTGAAAAAGTTTGGTGCTGCTCCAATAAGCACGGAGGAAAAAATTATAAAAAAATGAGCATTAATACTTCAGAATGTATCAAATCGCACATTGCTTCGTTCAAAACAAGAAAAAGTCATTACAGCTTGAAGGACAACAGCAACAGGTCATATTTGCCGGAAGAACTTAACATTAGGAAGATGTACAGAATGTTCGAAGATCTCCTGCCTAATCCTATAGGATGGTATTTGAGAAAGAATTTGATAAAGGATTAGGTGAAAATGAATGCTGCTGAGAAAAGCCCTGCGAGCGATAATATGGTAATGAGTAAGCTGAATATTGAAAGAGAGCTTCCCTTGCGAAAGGAGCAAACTTTTTATGATAGAAAAAGAGCAATGGACTATCAAAAATCTCTCCTAAATATGTCTACCAATGATGTATATCCATCATTTTGCGATTCGCATTTGTTCCTTTGAGGAGTGCCAAAAAAAATTACAGATGAAACCCTACAACTTTTATACTTGAAGTGTTTTTCTCCTCTTATAGTGAAAGCTGTAGGAAAAGGTCAAAATATAAGGAGCCACTCTGTACGCAAAAAAAAGAGTCAACCGCAGGCCGAGATGGGCAACTTCATCCACGACAAGTCACTTTTAGGTTAGCGCCCGACCAGCGCCGCTCTTATGCAGCACACCTGCGCGTTAATAAATATACAGGGCGCGCCCAGAAAAATATACAGGGCGTCGACGACCGCCGCCGTCTCAGAGCGCGAACTTGCCTAGCAGGACGCTCAGCAGGCTGAGCACCACGGCCAGCGCGATGTACGCCACGGGCAAGGCCTGCTCAGGCTGAGCAGGCGGGGCGTATCGGTTGGCGGGCGTGGGGCGGGCAGCGGAGGAGGCGCCCACGCCCACTTGCCGTTTCAGCTGCAGGATCTCCTCTTTGAGTTTGAGGTTCTCCTGGCGCAGCTCCATCTCTTCCTGGCGCAGCTGCTGGACCTGGACAGAGAATAGTTGGTAAAAAATGTGTTGGTTATCGTTTCGCCACCAGGAATAATGTTTCGATAAATCAGCTTTCCAGGGAGAATCTAAAAATGTCATTAGATACACAATAAATCTTTTTCACTCCCTTTGTAATACTTCGAATATAAGTAGCTAGTTTGATTCCCATTTCCGATTTTTCATTCTATACCTTTTCAACTTCAATTTCAGAATCAGTAAGTTATATTTCGGAGAAGGTAAACTCGGTTTCAGAAATGGTTAACTCAATTCCACAATCGGTGAGTTGAATTTCAGAAAATGTTCATTCAATTTCAGAAATTGGTTAGTTCAATTTCAGAGAGAGAAGTTCAACTCGAAATAAATAGTCCTGATTACACATCGTGAATTGAATGAGTCACTGTATGAATCTTAGTTCATAGGATGATGTGCGTGCGTTAGAAATGAGCATCATCCTACAGATAACATAATGGTAGTTCTGTATAATGCATCTGCACATTCAAGAATATATAGAGGAGATTTGCATGAAGGAAGGATTTCAAGATGTTCTTATTTGCAGATTGGCACATTACAGCCCCCAATGTTGAACCCAATAATTGATCATATTATGGAATACCTTCAAGTCAGAAGTGAAGAGCTTCTTGCAAGAGCACCACCAAAGATTCATAACCAGGAAGCCAAACAGATTGCTTTACCAAATAGAATTCAGACTGTGATGTCTTAAAGAATGTTCAGGTCATTCAATGAGAACATATACCTCATAAGTGTTTGAATTCTTTTAAATCATGTGCAACGCCACTATCTTTCTGTATAGATTAATTATTGAAGATTAAATTTAGTTTATGTTATTCAATGGTTTTTAAAAGTCCAAATATACTAAACATGGTTCTTTTCACATGCAACTAAAAATATGTCTGAAATATAACTTACCATTTCTAGAATAGAATGGACTTTTTCTAAATTTCAACTCACCGATTCTGAAATTGAGTTTACCATTTCTGAAATCGAACTAACCTTCTCCGTAATAAAACTTACCGAAATCGAAGTTGAAAAGGTATAGTTAGTGTAATCCTAGAAGTCCTGTCATACACGTCGAAACAGTATTGTCACGATTTGACATATCAATGGTGGCCAGCGTAGCCTCGTGGTCAAGGCATCAATGTTCTATCCACGTTGGGTAACCGGTAGTGGGTTCGATTCCCACCACGACCGCAGAAATTGTTCTGATGGCCTAAGGAAAGTGTTTGGGATCACACGTTAAAGGGTAAGACCCCCTTCATTCCTTGCTCGCACAAGTCTCTTGAAGACTTCTGAGGGTTGCTCGTAAGGGGGCAAACGAATGATAAATAAGAACAATTTTTTCAAAACAATGGTTTTCTTTCACCTTTTTCGGGTTACTTGAGTGACATTTCAAACATTAGTTTCTAATCTGAAATGATTTTTGTGAAAAAACACAATTATTAATTCTCATGAAACCATTTATACCTATTTATAATAATTAGGAGTTCATTCATAATAATCGAGAATTGATTCATAATATGCCATATTAAAATTTGCGATGATATCAATTTAAAATTCGAAATCAACTCCTGAAAAACGCTTGATGAAAAATGTGTTGGTAATCATTTCATCACCAGGATTGATATTCCGATCGAACAATAATAATTGGAAGTGAGATGAACATTGGAGTTCAAAAACTGTTGGAGATGTTTCATATTTCTTCCCATCATTATGAAAACGAAAAGACATTGGAAAATATGAAAAACAAATAACAGGATAAATAAATTAGGATGATAATCCATCAGGTTTGAGTTAACACTGGCGCCCCATCAAATAATTCAGAAGGGATCAATATTAGATGTCTGTGAAAATAACACCTAGTACAACTTCAACGAGTTTTCACGCCCACTTGCCGCTTCAGCTGCAGGATCTCCTTTTTGAGTTTGATGTTCTCCTGGCGCAGCTCCATCTCTTCCTGGCGCAGCTGCTGGACCTGGATTGGGAATAGTTGATCTTAAATTTGCCGACTGACACCTAATCGGTTCATTAATCATTACCAGAAATGATGTTTCGAATAATAATTGGAAGTGAGATTGAACTTTTGGGTTCGAAAACTGTTGGATATGGTTTCATATTTCTTCCCATCATTATAAACACGGAAAGACATTGGAACATATGAAAAACAAATAACAGGGTAGAGAAATGAGGATGATTCACTGTCTGTAAAAATTCAACACCTGGTATAACTTCAACTATATATAATATGTTTAGTATCATGTTTTACAGGACAGGTGACAAGAGTATTATTTCGTTATACAACAAGAACTGAGGGATGCCAAATATTTGTGATCAATTTGCCTGAAGACCTACACATTGTAAAAAGGACGGGAAAATTCGGAAATCAAACTCGTACAAATTTAATACAAAATTTAAAATATTCAATAGAAAACTGCATCTTCTTCATCGCAAAAATTAGAGTCCTCTTCACTATCATCAAACAAATTGATAATAAATCGATTCTGACCGTTCAGATCGGTAGCACCCAGATTTGTATATCTAATATTCATTGAATTTTTGAACTTTATCAACTTTTTTATGCCAATCGGTAGCACTAATATATTCCACTTCTATAGTTATTATAGATATTATGGGGGCAATCTGAGAACCCTATGATAATTTTGTAATTTTGTTTGGCAATTTCGTCTATGACATATACTTTCTTGAACTCTATAATTTTCAAAACATCAAGTAATTGGTCTTTGGTGTATTTTTCTTCAAAATATAAATCGTGGGTAGTTAAAAAAGCTTGGAACTCTTCCTTACTATTAGCATTGTTTGGAATGTTTCCCTTGACTCTATTAAGACTGGATATCGACTGAATCCGTCCCTGACAATCACAGTGGCTATAGTCTATTTGGGCTGTAGGAGAGATATGGGCAACTTTTTGGTTTGAAACCAAGATATTAAGTATTCACCACAGTTCCCGAGTAGCTACTTCAGAAAGTTAGTCATTCATATTTTCTGTCGTGGATTCAAGAGATAAGTGGACAAAGCAAAAAATTCAACGAGTTGTTACAAAATACTGGAAACTTGTGATGTAAAAACTGTTGAGTTGATTGGTAGTGAACACTTATCAGTTTATACAAGTATACTTCTCCAATACATTTCAATTTTCATTGCAATACTGAACATATTGGCACTAACAGAAACTCAAGTGAACTCGTCCACCAACAAGGTCCACATGCTCTGTCCTGGTTACGAGCTCCATTCTCAATTCAGGTTCAAAGGTGGAATCTGCCTCTACGCTAAGGCTGACAATTCATTTCAGCGTGTTTGGAACCGAAAAACTTTGATGTCATGTGGTTCAAGCTAGTCGATACCAAACCGACCAAATTCATCTGCTGCCTTTACCTATCGCCAAATGATCATGAATATAACAGCCTCTTCGAGTTTTTATCACTCAAACTGGACATCATTCAGCAGAACCATTCAACAGCTGAAATCATAATCATGGGAGATTTCAATGTACACAACGCAGCCTGGCTCAAATTCTGCAACAAAAAAGATGATGCAGGTCGTCAAACTGAGGCCTTCGACATTACTCATGGTCTAGAACAACTAGTCGAACTACCAACCCACATTCCAGATGTCAACAACCATTCTGCCATTACACTAGATCTTTTTCTCACCAGCAATCAGAATAGAAATTTGTGCCTCACTTGAAAACTCTGACCACACCCTCATCTCCACAACCTGCTCTTTCCATGTACCATCCAGCACCACAATTCCTACTCGTCTTATGTGGCATTACAATTCGGCCGACTGGGAAGGTCTTCTTCGTATGTTTTTTTCAGCGTTTCCATGGAAGAGAATTCGTTTCTCCTCAGCAGATCCAACACGATGTGCTGAGGCAATTTCTGAAATCATCATGTTGGGGATGCAAACCTACATACCAAACACTGCAAAGAGAACATCATCCGATAAGGCCTGGGCCAGGTAGCCGTGCGGACAGTGTTTTTATTCTAATCCGCATTCGCTTGCCGGTCGTGGGTTCGATTCCCATCGACTGCAGAAATTTTTCTGATGAACCAAGAAAGTGTTTGGGATCACACGTTAAAAGGTAAGGCCCCCGTAATTCCTTGCTCGCACAAGACTCTCGAAGACTTCTGAGGGTTGCTCGTAAGGGGGCAACCGAATGACGGATAGAACAATTTTAGATAAATCCAGGCCCTGAGACTAGATCAGAATATGTCGAGGCTAGAAGCATATGCAATGAGATAATACGATTATCGAAGGATGCTTATAATGCCAAAATAAGATCAAACTTGTTGAATGTCCTAATAGATCCCGTTCATTTTGATCCTTCGCCAAAGCTGTAGGAACAAACTTCACTTCTAGCTCGTTTCCTCCTCTTACCAAGGAAGATGGAACACTAGCCACAACTGCCCAGGAGAAAGCCAACATTATTGCGCATTTATTTGCTGGAAATTCCACTCTGGATTCATCGGGAAAACAACCTCCAAACATAACGCCAATTGACACTCATATGCCCGAGATCACTTTCGCCAACGTACTATAAAGAAGATTTTATTGAGTCTCAACACCAACAAAGCTTGTGGCTCCGACGGGATCCCACCGATTGTCCTCAAGAAATGTGCTCCCGAACTAACACCTGTTCTCTGCAAGTTGTTCAACTACTCTTACAAATTGGGGATATTCCCGTCCAACTGGAAAATTGCATGAGTACAACCAGTTCCTAAAAAAAGCAGAAAGACCCTACCTAGCAACTACAGACCGATCGCACTGCTATCTATTATTTAAAAGATCATGGAGAAAGCTATCAACGTCGAGCTCATAAAATACCTGAAACATTCAGGTATTATCAACGATAGGCAATATGGCTTTTCCGTCATCAGAGATCAACTGGTGACTTACTTGCTTACGTCTCACATATTATTATATGGCAGCAATCTATCGAAAAATATGGTGAAACCTTAGCC